CTTACACTCTAAATGTTCCGAAATTCTTAGCAACCTCAATCTATTTTAGAAATATAACAAATTGCACCAAAATTAGGAAGATGATCATGGTTCTAGCTCACTTGAGCATTTTATCAAACACTCGGTGTGCATAAGGTTTCAATGTCCTTTTATGAAGGATTTCATCATCCCACAACCTTTTTTAGCTCAACAATCTTCTTACACCCTTTGACAACACATGCATGTAAAACAAACAACTCTCATGCCAAAAACTTATCTTGCTAGTTACCCATTTCCACAGAAATTTCAAAATTAGGGGTTTAGGGTGTAGAATCTTACCTCTAGGATGAAGACCTAGTGAGTTTCTCTTCTTAATCTTTCAAAACTTGAGCAAGAATTGAAGAACACCTTCTCACTCTAGGGCACTCTCTCTCACTCTAGAATATCAGATTATGTCTCAAAAATGGCCCAAAGAGTGTATTTAACGAAATAAGGTCGGGTTTTAAAAATCCAAAAATGGAGCTCCGGAACAAGGTATGCGATCGCATAACCGATATGCGAACCGCATATCGGTCGCATAATTGGTTACAAAATAGCCAAAAGAACTGTCTGTGTATGCGGTCACTATGCGATCCGCATAACTGTTATGCGATCGCATAATTCACCGCATAACTGTTATGTGATCGCATAATGCACCGCATAATAATTATGCGGTCGCATAGTCGACCACATAGTTGCTTCCAACTGACCCAATTAACTGCCTCACTCTGCGGCCATTATGCGGTACGCAGAGTGGTTCTGCGGTTGCATAATGGACCGCAGAAATGCACTTTTTCGCTAAAAAAATTTCTTTACTTTCCGATGCATTGTTCAACCCAAAAAGTCCGAGCCGCTTAGGATCATTCGTCAAAACACGTACTTTCCACTTTTCCTCAAAATACGTAAGCCTAGTCCGGCACCATGAAACATTATTTTCTTTGCAAACTTTACCGGGCTTTACGCTTAAGTACTTCGAAATTTTTCGGGGTGTTACAAGAACCTTCGCCAATTCAAGCGTTATATCGCTACTAAGAGGATGAAATCTACGAAACAAGCTATAATTATAAAGTTCTTCCATCAATCTTGAAAAAATTTATTTTTCTTGGTAGTTTTAAATTGTCTGCCTTATGTTTAAATCTTTACATATTTAGTTATGAATTTATTAATAATGTATTAGCTTTCTTCAATATTTAACTAGTTCAATATGCATATCTTTTGAGATTTTAAAATGAATAATTTTATTATCTTTTATATGTAGCATTAAAAAAGAAAAGCAATTATTTTTTGGATAATTTTTATCTATAACAGCCAAACATATTTAAACGTTAAATATTGTTATAGATGTATAACAATCATTCACTATACAAACCAAAAAATATCGGAACAAACGAGACTGCTATAGATAATATAGTCATGTGAAGCATTTATGCAGTGTCCAATTGACATATTAAAAGAATACTTCTGCAGTGTCTATTCGCTTATTTGTTTTAGGGCAAAGGTCCAAATATGTTCTTGTACTATACGAAATTGAGCACATTTGCCCTTCGTTAATATTTTAGCTCAAATATGCCCTTACTGTCACATAGTTGATCCATATATGCCCTTAGAGTTACACAGTTAGCCCATATATGCCATTTTCGAAATGGAATTCACCCAAACTAATTAGCTCTTTCTTTAATTGTATTAAAGTGTATTACAAACACTATTTCCTTTTTATTAGTACTTTTTTCTTTACCTTTCTCTTTTCTTTCTTCTTTTTTCTTTTCTTTTCTTTTTTTTTCCTTTTTCTTTCTCCCTTATCCGATTTCCTCCATCAATGATGTCTTCTTCATTTTCATCACCAATTTCACTTGACAAAACTCATGAATTGCAATTACTAAGAAAATTCTCCCATAAGGTAATAAAGTTTTAATTTCACTGATCCTCTAAATAAACGAAATTAAATTATTCAAAAAATTATGGTTTAAACTTTAAAATAATAAAAACATCTCAACATTTAACAATACTCAAAAGACCAAAATATTTAAATTATTTCCAGAAAGATAATTTAATGATTAAAAGCCTAGAGTTCAAGTTGTAGTGTTATAAATTTGAGTTGTTAGTCTTTTTTCAGCTGGACATTTTCTATTTTTTTATTAACTATGTAGATTAGGGGTGTACATAGAACGGGTTGGTTCGATTTTTATCAAAATCAAACCAAACCAATTATATCGGTTTGGATTGTTCGGTTTTGTTGGATTTTCGGATTTTTTGTTACATAAATATTATTTCAATCTTACTTTATTAAATTTTTTAAAAAATTGACAAACATATGATCTATAAAAATATTTTTATGGGAGAATTTTCTTAGTAATTGGAATTCATGAGTTTTGACAAGTGAAATTGGTGATGAAAATGGAGAAGACATCATTAATGGAGGAAATCGGATAAGGGAGAAAGAAAAAGGAAAAAAAAAAGAGAAGAAAAGAAAAAAGAAGAAAGAAAAGAGAAAGGTAAAGAAAAAAAAGTACTAATAAAAAGAAAATAGTGTTTGTAATACACATTAATACAATTAACGAAAGAACTAATTAGTTTGGGTGGATTCCGTTTCGAAAAGGGCATATATGGGCCAACTGTGTAACTCTAAGGGCATATATAGATCAATCATGTGACGGTAAGAGCATAATTGAGCTAAAATATTAACGAAGGGCAAATGTGCTCAATTTCGTATAGTATAAGGACATATTTGGGACTTTTTCCGTTTGTTTTATAAAGTATGGTTTCTGTTATACCTTTTTTAAAAGAAAAAAAAAAAAAAAAAAAAAAAANTTTTTTAAAAAAAAAAAAAAAAAAAAAAAAAAAAGAGAAAGGTCTAGCGGGACGGATTATGGAGCGGGTGATAGCTTTTAGTGGGTGCTTTGAATTTTTTAAATAGTTAGTGACTTTTCAGTTAAGAAGGCAAAATTGAGTGAACAAAGTAATGTGACTTTTCTGACCGGTGACCTTTTGAAAAAATCAACTCTTTTGCCCGAAGAAATTTGCACTTTTCAGATTTTTTATTCATCAGACAAAATTTAAGTGGCCCTTGATTAAGGGAGGTCCTTAAAATCAGTAAAATGACTCTTAATGTAATTCAACATTTCAACTTGTTACTATCAACAGATAAACTTTGCAATGCCTATTCTTATCAATAATTGACACCGCAATTGCAAACATGATTGGATAAAGAGTGAGCTATCTTACATAATCTTCTTTACTTTGATCGCGATTAAGACTATTTGAAGTCTACAATTTGCTCACGCACCTAAGGTAACTTAATCATTAATGAGGTGAGTGAAATTATTAGACATAATGGTTCAGATCGCAATAAAAATGAAATAAAACGCTAGGTGATGTTTTTTTCATTTGTTTAAATTTTGTGGACGGAGTTACTTAATACCTATAATGGTGAAAGGGATTAAGCACCTGTGATATAGTCAATGTAGATGCAAACTGACTGACCATTGTGATTAAAAACGTCAATCGGTACACGAAGTATCTCGCGTTCATACAGGGTTCGGGGAAGGTCCGCACTCCAAAGGGGTGTGATGTAGGTAACCTACTCTAATGCAGATGGTTGATTCCACGGTTCGAACTCGTGACATATAGGTCATACGGAAACAACTTTGTTGTTGCTCCAAGGCTCCTTTATGACTGAACATTATGATTAAAGAGTAGCCCGGTGCACTAAGCTCCCGCTATGTGCGGTTCGGGGAAGGGCCAGACCATAAGAGTCTATCGTACGCAGCCTTACCCTACATTTCTGCAAGAGCTTGTTTCCACGGCTTGAACTCGTGACCTCCTGTCACATGGCAGCAACTTTACCAGTTACGCCAAGGCTCCCTTTGAACATTATGATTAAAGGGTAGCCTGGTGCACTAAGCTCCGACTATGTGCGGTCCGGGTCCGGGGAAGGGCCGGACCATAAGGGTCTATTGTACGCAGCATTACCCTACATTTCTGCAAGAGCTTGTTTCCACGGCTTGAACCCGTGACTTCCTGTCACATGACAGCAACTTTACCAGTTACGCCAAGCTCCCTTTGAACATTATGATTATCACCAAAAAGAAAGAGTAAAGTCTACAACTTGCTCACTTCTACTGTAATATCAAGAAAATTCCTCCCAATTTTAAGAAACTAACCAAGAAAACCAAATACTACCCACTTTGTTGTACTACCAAAGTGGACCACAATATCCCTAGTATTTTCTCAATAGCTGAACCTGTTGCATCTATAACAACCATATAGTTGTTTTTATAGCTTAAAATCAAGAATCCAAAACCCCCAATACTAAGGTCTTTGAGCATATCCTTCTTTTGCCATGGCAACTCAAGTGCACCAACTTCATTTCATACTATTCCCTCTAATGGCTCCAGGCAACGTGATACCTATGATAGACATAGCTAAACTTCTACCAAATCGCGGTGTCATTACCATGTGTGTAAATTGCGGCGCAATCAACCATTCAATACCTTAAGAGCCATCTCGCTCAAATTCCTCCACAAAGCCCAAACAGAGCTGCATCATGTGTGTAAATAGTCAACAGTCTCACATCAGAACACGAATAAGATCAACCCTAACCGATGACACACCCCTCAACAACAGCTGTGCTGAGTAAACAAATTTGACCCGAGTAGAATACACATTCATTTAGAGCAGATGAGGTACTATATGGTTCGTGTAAGTTCTGATTTCTGCTTTTAATAATTACAACTTCAGAGAAAAGTTCCGTTTCTGTTCCTTTATTCTTCTACTCAAGCGTAATGCTCGACCAAATAAACCAATCCTTCTGAATTCATGACTATTTTCGAAAAGTGCTATGCTGTCTCAATGTATGCCGCTTGAGAAGTTCATTTTATCATCAATTTGGGAGTTTAATCTACCTTTAATAGCCATGCTGAATTGACAAAACCGCATAAAAAGATCGTCGTTACCAATATTGCGTTCCGTCTTAGGACAGTAAGGAAAAAGGAAAATTCATCAAAGTTTAACATTAGCTTTATGTAGAAACATACAAAAGAGAAACAGAAATAGAAAGCAAGTTTAATAAATAACAATACAATTTTGAGGTGTTCTGGGATTTTATTTGCACCGGATATGTTTAAATAACTGAGCTCATACCTAACTGCAGTTGTGTATGTACAAGCCGCCTCCAACTAAACTCCGAAAACCATTTCTGTATCTACTGCCTCTCACCAGCATAGGTACGGGGTAACTGTCTATCCAAAAGCAAAGTACTAACGCCAGGCCTACCATAGATTTACGGGGTAAAAGTTTCACTGAAAGGTGCTATCAAATGCAATCAACTCCTGTAACAATGTGGAGAACTTTTTCCATCTCCATGATAGGATCTGCAATTCTGGATTTTATACGCCAAGCAATATGCTCATCAGGTCTCACTAAAATGGCTCCTCTGTCCGTCATCTGACAGATGTCCCACCAGGATGGCGAATCTGATGAGCTCTTCACTTCCACAACTTCAAAAAATTTAGAGGGAGTCAACGCAGCCTCACTTCTTCCGGTTCCATTAATACTTTCTTTTGGCCATATTACACAAACCTTTAAAGGCACTTCAAAATTGTTCGCCACCTCTATAGCAGCTCGAGCTAGATAGTAGGACTCCTCCAGTGGTGCTATTATAAGGACAAACTCAACCTTATCTCCAGATACAAGGTCCAGAGTAGAGAATATTTCCTGAATAAGATCTACTGTTAGAAATAAAATAATGAAACCTGAAACAGGATGACTGCAGGTCGAATATTGTAATCTATTGCAAGGATCGAGATAAATTGAAAATCCCCATTTGATTCAATTATTTGGCTTCTCCAAACATGTGCCAAGAGATGAACGATATGAAAAGACCATGATCTAACAAGGTCCAGCTCACCTACAAAGACAATGTCCCCTTGAAAGAGTCCATACCTTACTTGACGGGTTAGAAAGCAGTTTAAGATTCATATGAGGGAGCCTTGATCCAGGTTCCGAGCAAGGAATATAATCCCTTCTTCGTCCTGAAGGTGCTTCATGCGCATTCAACCCACTAAAATCTTCAGACACCAATGCTCCTTTTTGGTAACTAATGTAAACACATTGAAATTAGAGTACTGATGCAAAAAAGTATTGCCAAAAGGATTATTTAAGATATAAACAATCATCTGGCGTACACCTGAGATGTCTTTATTTGGAGTTCTATTCAGAGTTGAGTCAGTATCCAGCATTTATAGGAGCCCATGAACTATACAACTTTAGTGACAAAATCAGCTTGAGCAATTTGCATTAAATAGATAAAGCAAAAGTAGATACGCAACCTGAAACCAAGATCCTCAGCAGGGAACTGGAGCTGAAGGCTCTGTCCTCCTTCAAATATCTGTCTTAATTTGGCTAGCCTTGCAGATCCAAGTGGATTATTTTCATTCAATACAAAATCTGAGAGTTGTGCACGACCAATGCTGAATATTCCATCTAATATAGTCCTTTGAAGTCCAGATGGCAGAACAGAACCAACCGTGTTATTAAGAGCTCGATGTACTGCATGCAAAAACACATTATCTCTTTAATCAGCTACTGATGTAAAAAGATTAAGTACAAGTTTGCACTTTACCTGCATTTGCTATTGTTGGATCAAGACCAAGTGCAGCAGGAACTCTCATTGCCGCCTTAAAGTTTTGGACGCTAAGTGCTGTATTAAATTGGGCTATCTGAAACATTTTAAGGAGTGTGTGAAGCTCGTAGGAAGAAAATCAGAAAATAGGGAATATTTTATTTTACACAATATGCATTATCAAACCAAGAATTGAGGAAATGAATACCTGACTACGTTCTAGTTCATACGAGGTAAGAATTGATATTGGTGAGATACCCTTGATTACAGAAGCTAACTTCCACGCAAGATTTTGAGCATCTTGAATACCAGTATTCATCCCTGAATAAAAGAAGACATCTTGAGCAGATTTCCTTCCCCCGGTCTGACCTATTAAATCCTCAAATAAACAACAACAGCTGCAGATATATTCCATGAAGCAGAGTTGGATGCATCTTACATGACACCTTAGATCTTCACACCACCTAACTTCAAAGTTATCAAGATGCAGTTATTTTATCCCTGCAGAAAAGAAAATATTCCTCCAGTTTCTTTTATTTTCCCCCTTCTTATCTTTCACATATTCGAACAAACTCATTTAAATGTTTCATAAGTTATCAAGGGGAAATGACACTATTATTTACCTAATGTAATTTTTTTTTAATAATGGTGGGGTCCAGCTTGTGCGCATTCTCGACTGTTCCACTAGATACCTGCTACCTCCCCCAGCACAAGTATCGAGTTAACTTTGCCCACCAAGGCTTAGACAGATGGGAAGAACTCTTTGTCTTCGCTGGGATATGAACCCTGATCTCTAAGATTTTCACCCACTTCATCGACTGCTAGGTCACACCCTTGGTGCCCTAATTATGCCTTTAAAAATTACTCTTTAAGAGTTGGCCAAGGATTCATGGCCAAGCATGTCAAAATATTTTGTTGATAGGGACTCGAACAAGGATATGCTTTGATTGCATATTGGATTGCGTGAACTGTCTCATCCAAAAGCTTTAAATGCTCGAGAGGGAACACTATTATAAACTTAATTATTTATTTGTTTTTGTTCTTAAAATTACCATACAACAATCAAGTTCCAGGTCTATAGTTAGATACCGTATCAATTGTGTTAAATTACCAGTGCAATGCATGGTAACTAACATCACAATGTGGTTACTGACTGCAGTTCAGATCTCCTCCAACCTACTAAAGCTATCTTGGGCTTAATTTAAGCTAGTTATAGCTTCGGAATTTTATGCTTATGCTGAAATCTTTTACCTGCCTCCCCCAGAAATAACTTTGCGATTTTTACCTTTACATCAGCATTTCAGGAAGNCCCCTCCCCCAACTCTCTCAACAGAAAAGGAATTACAACAAAGTTATTCTTAAAAAATATCTAAGACTTGACAAGATAATTGCATTACAAAACAAAAACTTAATCAATGCACAAATAGATTGCATACCAAAACCACCAGCAGGAGGAAATCGATGAGCAGCATCACCAGCAAGGATTATCCTGTTGTTACGAGACAGGAACTTCTCAGCTACTTCAGCATGCATCACCCAAGGCTTAATATCCATCACATTGACGTCTGCAAGCTCTTGGCCGATCAATTTGAAGATCAATCTCTTACACATCTACAACCAATTGTAAAGTACAAAGAACAACATGGTAAATAAACCATATTGGTTCAACTGTCAAGCATTGCAGCCATAGCCCCATATTATAGTAGATCCAAATGAATCACGAGGAACATAAACCCGTTGATTCATTCTCTTCCACTAATGGAAAATTTTAAGAACTGATAGAGTAAGCAAAAGATTCAACAAAAGAGTAGAAAAACACCTCGCAACTAAAGTCCTCAAGCTTTTGTTGAGGTGGGTAAAATGGTACCTACAAAATTTTGACCAAGACTATCAATAATGCTGTTAACCGATAACAACAGATTCAGATTTATAAATACGAGCAAGTGGATAATATAGTATTGAGCCAAATTCCCACATAATTAAAGAACTGGTTTACCTGCAGGACAAATTCCCCTTGCTTGAGATCATGGGCAACAAGAACACCAATAGCATCTTTATTAAAGATGAAAAACAGCATGCCGGGTCTTTCTTTGATGAGATACTTCCCTAACTCTTGGCTTTGGAAGTGGACACTAACAAGATTTTGTAAGTCCTTTTCACCTCTCATGTTAATTCCTAAGGACTTTCTGACAGTACTTCCTGCACCATCTGTACCAACAAGGAAATGACACTGGATATCTCTCTTAATATACTTCCCTTCAGTAAGGAAAGATGCTGTTACACTGACGCCATGCTCAGCATCATTGATTGCAATGCACTCATGCCCCATAAAGATCTTCCTCTCACCAATAGAGACATGCTCACACTTTTCAGAGTTCATCGTACAGAAATCGAGTTTCTCAAGGTGCTTAAGCAGTAACCTGGAGAGCTTGTACTGGGAGAAGTGTGCAACAGAGACAGGACTCACAATCCGATCAAAATCTGACGAACAAAATGGAAAATGTTTGCAGAAAACAAAAGAATCACCAGTATGCATATAAGACATATCTTCCACGAAGCAAACTCAATAAATTTGTGATGCAATAGATCTATCTAATAAGATGGATATCATACTACTCTCCCCATCTCATTTAACGAAACATATTTTCCGCTGGAATGCAGAAATGTCTGACACGTTATTGGAATAATAGTAGTTATACACCTGTCAATATTTCATGGATTCGAGATCACTTGAATTTCAATCCAAAATTGCAATTGACTCAATTATCTCTTCACTGATTACGAACGGGCACAAATTTATTCCATTTCATATGTTGAGAGGATCTGAGGTGAACAAAATGTAATTTGATGACTTAAGAAACCATAGAGAGCAAAATGTCCCATGTAACATTTTGTACTCAGCAACACATTAAGAAAGTGAAAACAACATTGCATCATCCATTTTAAGGAGTGGAAGAGATAAGACAAATCGCTTAATTTGGTCATATTCACTTCTTAATTGTGCATTAGTTCAGACCATTTAACATAAAACTTGACAGGCAGAGTATTTACTTTGCAATAACAATAACAACAACAACAACAACCCAGTAAAATCCCACAAGTGGTGTCTGGGTGCAAACCGTGCAATAACAATAACCATGACTAAATTAATGACTTAAAGCATAACAATTTGAAAAATTAAGAATTAAAATCACTTACAAATCAC